CATCCCGCATCCCACCGATCCCACTGCATCCCGCATCCCACCGATCCCACTGCATCCCGCATCCCGCCGATCCCACTGCATCCCGCATCCCGCCGCTCCCTGCATCCCGCATCCCGCCGATCCCGGCGTGCCCGCTCCACCGGGCCCCTGGAAAAGGGGCCGGGAGAGGGAAGCAGGGACCGGCAGGGAGCAAAATGGTGGCACCCAACCCTTAGGAAAAGTGCTGCTCCCCTGGAATCTTGGGATCTGGGGCTGAGCGCTTTTGGGGAAGGAGGACTGACACGGGAGGGAGCGATCGGAGCAGCCTTTGGGAAGGTAAGGAAGGTTTTTTTCTTCCCCTCCGGCTTTGGAATCGCTGTCCTGACACGAATCCCGGGATGAGGGAGCAGCTGCCGGGCTGCAGCACGTACTCGGCAGCAGCTGCCCCCCCTTCCCTCCCCTTCCCATTCGGCTGCTGTGTCACCAAACTGTGCTCCCGATGGATAAACAACCAGCCAGGCCTGGGGGGGAACAAAAGCAGAAGCGGGGAGGAGGAGCTGGAGGGGGCCGAGGGGTCTTCCTGGCTCAGGAATATCGTGGCTCCAGGCGCTGCACAAGGAGCACGTGCCCGGGCTCAGGTCCTCAGCTCTCATAAATGTACAATAACCGGGGAGAGGAGGATTATCCCTTAATCTACATATTTATAGGGTTTAATTTGGCGGGTGGCTCTGGTGTCATGGCAGCGGGAAGAGGAGCCTTTGCAGGGCAGAGCTGGGCCGGGTCCTGTCTCCCTCACCTCCCTCTCTGTGTCGCTGGAGCAGCAGCTGCAGGCCCAGCCTCCTCACAGGCCCATCCTCATCCTTAAAACTCCTGGATCCTCCCCCTGTTATATCCCAGGGCTGTCCCAGCACCAGGATTTTACAGCTGGAGGCACTGAGCCCTTTCCCCCCCTGGGGAGGGGGAGCTCCCAGAAATGAGATTTGACAACACGAATTTGTCACAGAGGTTGGTGGGGTTTGGTCCAGGAGTGTCAAACCCAGCTAATGCCAGGGACAGCCATGAATCCCAGCTCAAATTAAAGGGAAAAGCATCTGGGAAGTGCCCAGCTCAGGGTGGGCAGCCTGAGGCTCAGCCACCAGCACTGTGGCACTGGGGCCAAATTCCGGCTTCACTCACCCCAGGATGGGTCAGGAGCAATTCCAGCAGCTTCCAAAGGGTCACAGCCACGTGCTGTGGTTTGACTTCAGCATCTGTCCAGGAAAATCGACCTATAAATCCATGGATGGCTTTGGCCCAGGGCTGGAGGGACAGTGCTTTGGACCAGGAGGGTGCAGGAGGGGCTGCACATCCCAACCTCTGCCCAGGAAAGGGAGTGCTGGGTCAGCCTCTGGCTCCAAAATAAGGGTTGGAATGCTGGTGTCTGGGTCTTGGCATGGAATGAACCCGCTTCCAAAGCTCAGCCAGGGGTTGGGAGGCACCAAACGGGGTCGGAGGTGAGGGTGGGGATGACAATTTGGGGTCACACCCGGGGTTTGGTCCTTGCCTTGAACATCAGCTGCCCTCCAGAAAAGCCACCTCCAAGGAACAGCTGCTTCCCAGATTATGGAAGGCCTCTGGAGAACATTTTGCTGGGCTGGGATCTTCTGAATTCCTACAGAGAAAAAATGGGGATAATATGGAGAATGAGGATGTTTCCAGGCTCTTCCGGGGTCAGGATTTGTTCCCATGTCCCTGGCTGGATTTTCCATCTTGGCTGGATGAGGATGTAAATGCAGGGATAGTTTGGAAGTTACTAGGGATTGCACAGCGCTCCAGGAGGGCAAATTCCCTGAGGGAATCCCTCAGGGATTGAGTTTACTGGGAAAAGGGAAGGGGCAGAGCACACGAGGGGTTGTGTGTCCTTCCCTGCTGTCCCCATTCTCTCCTCTGTCTGCCATGGAGGGACTTTTTCCTAAACATCACCTGCTCTCTCTCCTGTGTTTTCCCTCCATGTCCTGCAGACCTCTCCCAGAAGAGACAGGGATGGAGTCACTGGGAAGCCCCACAGAAGATGAGAACACATCCTGTAAGTACCACCCTGCCTCCTCCACGGTCCAAAGGGGAATGGCAGCTGGCAGTCAGGGAGAGAGCCACTGCCCTCGGATTAGCCACAGAAATTCCTGGGGGGGGGAGGAGGAAAGAAAGCAAGCAGAGATTTGAATCCCCTAATTGAATCTCCTGGGGGAGGAAATAGGGATCTCACAAGAAATAGGGATCTCACAAGAAATAGGGATCTCACAAGAAAGAGGGATCTCACAAGAAATAGGGATCTCACATGGGCACTTCCATCCAGCCACTCCCAGTGCCTCCCAGTCCCTGATCCACCACCCAGCCCAGAACCTGGGATATCCATGAGGAAGCACGAAGGATCCAGGACCAGGACAACCTGTCAGTTGTTTTCCTTTTAACTCCAGCTCCCCCCAATACTTTAAATTTTAACGGGGCGCATCGTAAGCGGAAGACACTTGTCGCACCTGAAATCAACATTTCCCTGGACCAGAGTGAAGGCTCCATCCTCTCTGATGACTTCCTGGACACTCCAGATGACCTGGATATTAATGTGGATGATATTGAAACACCTGATGAGACAGATTCCCTTGAATTCCTGGGCAACGGGAACGAACTGGAATGGGAAGGTAAAAAGGGCTGGTTCTGTGTGAGTTTTGCAGGGGTTGGGGTGGTTTTTTAGCCTCATTTTGATGACTTTTGACACAATTCACCATCAGCAGTGGAGGGTTGACAAGGAAAGGGAGATTTTAAGCTTATTTGTGTAACATTTTGGCAACATAGCAGGATTATTAAGCACCACAAACTTGCACAGATCAAAGCTGCGGGTGGAACGCGATCCGAGCACCATCCCCGGGGTTCTTGTCTCCAAAGCCTCTTCCTGCATTAGATTAAAGGCAGATCTGTCCCTTTTCCAGATGACACTCCCGTAGCCACAGCCAAGAACATGCCTGGGGACAGTGCAGACCTGTTTGGGGACGGGGGGACAGAGGATGGCAGTGCCACCAACGGCCGGCTCTGGAGGACCGTCATCATCGGGGAGCAGGAGCACAGGATCGACCTCCAGATGATCAAACCCTACATGAGAGTGGTGACACACGGAGGTGAGAGAGGTCCTGCCTCAGTGGGGGGGTCTCTGTCAAGGATTCCAGGACTATTTGGTTCCCACTCATAGGCAAATTTGCTGTTTGTTTTGTGAAGTTACACATAAGAAGAAAAAAGCACCCAGATCGTGCTGAAAACTGCTCTAAAAAGGGTCTAAAAATGTAGTCGCTGCAGTGGGGTTTGAATTGACAGAGAGAGGGGCTGTTCCCAACCCTCAGGCCTGGTGTGGGCAGTGATGAAGGGTCTGGGGGGGTTGAACTCCTCCAGCTTGGTGCCTGAGCTGCTCCAGAGGGACAGCAAAGGTTGACAGAGCACAGTCAGTGCTCTTTCCAAAATCCAAGCAAAGCCAAGGAACAACCCAGCTCTGACACCCCCAAATTCCTTCCCTGAACGCCAAACACACGTTACAGCCCAAACCAGGAGGAAACCTCCTGGTGAAGGAGGTGCAAAGAGGGACAAAGCTCACCTGGAGCTGGACAGAGACACAAAAACTGCCCCGGCCCCAAATTTGACAACACAACTTCCCTCTGTTTTACCCTCAGCTCTTACATCTTTCCCTGGAAAACCTCCCAGTGTTGCCTGTGTTTTTCTTTGCCAGGATACTACGGAGAAGGTCTCAATGCCATCATTGTCTTTGCTGCCTGTTACCTCCCCGACAGCAACCTGGCTGATTACCACTACATCATGGAAAACCTCTTCCTGTGAGTGGCTGGGAGGGAGAGGAGGGGGAGGGAAGCGTCTCCAGGGTTTCCCTGCACTCATTGCATCAGGGACATCAGCTGGGAATAGTCTGAATCCAGGCCAAACATCCCCAGTGTGCAGCTGCAGAGCGGGGTGAGCGTCGCTGGCCCCGGCTCCGAGGCCAATAAGTCAAAGCATTCAAACATTCCGGGTTAATGATGCCAGTGATGGACTCACATCCAGGCTGGAGCACGTGGGGGATGTTCAGCAGCTGGGAGAGAACAGAGCTGGGGTGTCCATCAGTGCCTGAACTGCACTGACACATCCCTGGGCACTCCCTCAGAGGCGCCGGGAGAATCCAAACCTCTTCCAAGGCCTGCAAAGAAAAAGCCTTGGAGGCATTTCGGGGTGAAACACTTGAGGAAAGCTCCAGGGTGGGTTTTTTTCCAGTCTCTTGTCCCTTTTGCTCACCCAACAGGTACGTGATCAGCAGCCTGGAGCTGCTGGTGGCTGAGGATTACATGATCGTGTACCTGAACGGGGCGACGCCCCGGCGGAGGATGCCGGGCCTGGGCTGGCTCAAGAAATGCTACCAGATGATCGACAGGAGGTGGGAACCCTGCTGGGGTGGCCTCTTCCTTCTTCCCAGGCTTCTCCCCACACAGAATCCCAAAACAGTTTGGGTTGGAAGGACCTTCAAGTTCATCCAGTTCCACCCCCTCCACGGGCAGGGACACCTTCCACCAGCCCAGGTGGCTCCAACCTGGCCTTGGACACTTCCAGGGATGGGGCAGCCACAGCTTCTCTTGGGCAACCTGTGCCAGGGCCTGCCCACCCTCCCAGCCAAGAATTCCTTCCCAGTCTCCCATCTAACCCTCACTTCTCTTCCTCTGCTTCCTCACAGCACTCCCAGCCGACTCTCCTCCTTTCTCACTGCCCAGAGTCTGTAATTCCTTCCTCTATCCCAAATTTCTGACTTCCTCCAGGCTCTCCTCCTGCCCTCTGCCCCCCTCCTTCCTCACGAGCCCCTTGGCAGAGCTCAGGCTGGCACAGCCCCAGAGCAGAGCAGTGCCCTGCAGCCTCTGGGCCGGGCTGGGCTTCCTAAAGGGCGTGGGGAGTTTAGGGAATGTCCTCTGGATTTGACTCCATGCCTTGCCTTTTCCCCAGGCTCCGTAAAAACCTCAAAGCCCTGATCATCGTGCACCCGTCGTGGTTCATCCGGACGGTGCTGGCGATATCCAGACCCTTCATCAGGTGAGCAGAACGTTCCCAGGCTCAGCTGAGTTTGGAATCACGGAATCCTGGAATACTCTGAGTTGAGAGGCTGCCACAAGGATCATTAGTTCAACTCCTGGCCCTGCACAGACACCCCAACAATCCCCTTCTGTTCCCTCAGAGCGTTGTCCAAACCCTCCTGGAGCTCTGGCAGCCCTGGGGCTGTGACCAAACCCTGGGGAGCCTGGGCAGTGCCCAACCACCCTCTGGGGAGGAAGAACCTTTCCCTGAGATCCATCCTAAATCCCCCCTGACACAGCTTCGTGATGTTCCCCTGGCTTTAATCTCACAAATCAGATTTTAAGCTCATCTTTAGGCCAGGAGCAGCCAAGGTGAGGCTGTTCCTCCCTTGTCCTTCTTCTCTCTGACACTTCCAAGGACAATTCCAGAGGTGGTTTTAGGAGACACTGGGTGGTCTGGACCCAGAGCAGAGTTTGTCCCAGTGGGTAGGGCGTGAGGATTTGCTGGGAAGTGCAGGAATGGTGTCCTTTTTGCCTCCTGCAGATATTGGGAGGGGCAGTAACGTGGGGTCTCACCACAGCTTTTAGACTCCCCCCCGGGCTTTTAGGGGGGAGGTGGGCAAAGATGCAGAGGTTCCATCAGGAAACCCCTGATTTCCTGTGGAGGGAACATCACTCCAAGGCCTCCTTGGTGCACTGTTTCTCTCTCCCTGCCAGTGTGAAGTTTATCAATAAGATCCAGTACGTCCACACCCTGGAGGAGCTGGAGCAGCTCATCCCCATGGAGCACGTGCAGATCCCAGACTGTGTCCTACAGTGAGTGCCAGAGGGGCCCTGGGGCAGCTCTGGGGAGGGGCAGGACAGACATCCCACCTTGTGTTGAGTCAAAATCCACAGATTTGCCTGGGGCAAACCTTCATGTCTCACACTGTGCCAGCACAGAGCTCCTGTCACCTTCAGAGCAAACACTGAATTTTGCTAAGAGTGAACAATCTCCATTTAAAGAACATTTCCTCTTTCTTGCAGATATGAGGAAGAGAGGATCAAGGCCAGAAAAGAAAGGTAAAATTAATTTTTAGGGGGGTAGGGTGGAGAGTGGGTTCATTTTCTTGGGGTGTTGTTGCTTTCTCCCATCACTATTTGTGTTATAACCAGTAAATTCCACGTTCCTCCCACCCTGAGATCCTGCACTGATTTTCTCTGACTCAGTAAAAGCTGGAGGAGGGAGAAGCTTGATTAAAAGGTTATTATTTATCCATAGATTAGAAGGCTATTTATCCACACAACCTCTGAACCCCACACATCCTCATCCCACACTGTCTGTGCTCCCAAAGGTCATCAGACACCCCTCTCTGTATAAAACAGGCACATTATCCCTATTTGAGCAGTAAACTGACCCTAAAGTGAGCCCTTGTGTTTTAAAAGCCACTTCATCCCTGTGGAGTGGCATGAAGAGGGACTTCAGTTTGTGCAGTTTGTTTGGTTTCATTTTCCAGACCTGCTCCCTTCCCAGTGCTTTGGGGTCAGAAGTGCTGCTGGGAGGGCTGGGCATGAGCAGGGATGATTCCAGGGAAAACAAGAGGCAGGGAAGGAGAGAGGAAAGACCCACTGGGTCAGCACAGGTGCCTCAACCCCTCCTGGTGCTGGTGCCTGAGTGGGAGATGCCAGTTTGGGAGGGTTGAGTGAGTTGTCCAGCCCAGCTCCTGGAGCACGAGAGCCACCAGGGCTGGGGGTCCCAGGGACTGGAGACCATTGCTGACCTCTCCAAGGTCCATCCATCACCCCAGAAGGGCCCTGGATTCTCCTCTCCATCACCCCAGAAGGGCCCTGGATTCTCCTCCTTCCCACTGTTCACCTCAGGGCGATGATTCCAAAGGTGATTTGTGTTTACAGGGCAGAAGAGAAACAAGACATGGCCGAGAGGGAAAGGTAAGGACTCCGTTTGATTTATCCCTCAGCTCAAACAGTGTCTGGGGGTGGGAACAGCCCCACGGATTGGGAACACCCCCAGGAGATGGTTGGATCCAACAGGACATTCCCAAAGTGTTCAGGAGCTGGTAAAGCCTCTCCTCTCCCGGGCAGCTCCGGGTGCCACCAGCACTGTGGTGTTCCCGACCTTCACCTCTGCCAGAGGATTCCCGACCCTGCTCCGTGCAGGGAGTGATCCCAGAGCTGAGCCAGAGGCCCTGGGAATGCTCTCCTGACATTCAGGGGGAGCATTTGCAGGGTGGAGCAATGCAGAGGGTTCAAATGCTGCTGCTGCTGCTGCTGCTGCTGCTGGACACTCTCCCTGTGGGCACAGGGGGCAGAGCCGGGGCTGTAACTTGAGATGGGAAAGAAAATTCTAGAGGGGTTGGGAAGGGCAGTGCCAAAATCCTACACCAGGAGAATTTGGCCTGGTTTTGGCTCTGCTTCAGAGCGATGCAGCCTCTCTTCTCATTCTGTTTGAGTCTCCTGAGGGGGGAACAGGGAATATTCCTGCTCTTTTCCCAGAGAAAAAGGAGTTTTGATCATTGAATGGTTCCAAGAAATAAGAGGAGCTCAGGGCAAAGAGAGGGGCACTGGTTTGTGGAGGAGATTCACTCACTGTTGTGCTGGTTCTCTTCCCAGCAGGCCTGTGCCTCCAGGAGAGGATCAAGAAACCAGGTTTGAACTGGATGGATCTCCCCCTTTGTTTGTCTCTGTGACAGATTTCATGGCATTTGTAATCCATGAACAAGAAAGCCCAGCCTGGGTTAGACCCAGGATCCATCCCCCTGCTGCCACTCCTGGGCACCCAATGGGCCCCTCTGCCCGTTAAAGCCACAAATTGCCTCATGTTTGTCCCCAGGACAGTTTTGTAAATGATTACACCCAAATTTACCCCATTTTTTTTGGACGCGGTGGGAATAATAAAAAAGTTTTACCTCAGTTTGCTGCCTAAAAATAACTCCTGTGTCTCTCTGTTCCTTCCCAGTATGTCCTGAATGGGAGCAGGAGGTGGATGGATGGAGTGGAAGGACACAGCCTGGCAGCCACCCATGGCAATGACCTTTTGGGACAAAACCTTGTCACCATCTTATTCCAAGTCCTGTAAGATCCCAGAGCCTGCCTCCTCTGTCTCCAAGATGCAAAGCTCTTTCACCTTTTTGGAAACATTTTACCTTAAAAAAAAAAGAAGAAGTAGAAGGACAACAATCAAACAAACAAACAAAAACCACCCCACGAAACAAAGCAGGCCAAGAAAAGCACTTTTCAGGACAGGTTCTGGCGTGTTTCTGGAATGGTCTGTGGAGAGCTGTGACACAGTGCAAATACACACCTTGTAGTAAGTTAAGAGCACCCTCTAATCCATTAGTCCCCAGCCCAGAAAGAGATTTATTTTGTTGGTTAAATTATAAACCCACCTGAACTCGCTGCTGGCCAGCGCGGAGACGTTTTTGCTTTAAAGCTGCACCCCCAGGTTCCTCCCCAGCAGCCCGAGAGCCCAGGGAATAACTAATACAGGCAATGAAAAGAGCTTTTCCCTCCTTTTTATAGCCAGTGTGTGTTTCTTCCTGAAAATACCAAGTGCCCACCGGCCTCAGCAGCTCCTCCAGCCTTGGCTGTCCCAGTGAAGTCGTTGCCAGCTCCTCAGTCCTCATTCCTGGGAGGAAATGCCACGTTTTGGGTTGGTTTTTTTCCCCTGATTTGTTCCATTCCGGTGTGTAAGGCACTGTGGGAGCTCTGAAGGAGTCCCCCCATGGAATGGCAGCCTCCACAGAACCTTCCTGAGAGCATCTTCTCCACGCACAGCCCGAGAAGGTCTGGGTTCGGGAGGAGCCCCGCGGACGGGAAGGGTTTCCACGCCTCGTCTTCCTCTCGATGTCACGGCCCTGGACAATCACTCCCTGTCAAATACCTCCCACTGCAGAGACAAGCTGCTAAAATGTTGGAAGTTTCCCTCCTGAGGGCCCTCATCCATCAGCATTCCTGCCTGGAATATCCCCCCCCACTGGAGAACGCAGGGCACGGGACTGGGTTCAGCTTCCGTGGCCGAGAGGTGCAGGTGTGACGTTGGCTCTGGAAATCTGGATCTGGGAACTCGTGAGGATCCTGTGAACAAAGGAGGGAGGGAAAAGTAAATTAAGGAACAACTCTCTGGCCAAAATTATTTGGAAGTTACTTCACCAGGTTACATCCCCATCCCTGGAAGTGTCCAAAGCCAGGTTGGAGCAACCTGGGATAGCAAAAGGTGTCCCTGCCCATGGCAGGGGGGGGGGACTGGATGAGTTTAAGGTCCCTTCCAACCCAACCCATTCTGGGATTCTGGGATCAGGTAAAACCCCTCCCAGACACCTGCAGGTGGAGAATCACCTGCCTGTTTCACCACTTCAAGAATATTTCCAGGAGAATTCTGGCCGAGCAAGATTTCCCTCAAGACAGGGACGGATCCTCTGGATACACAAAGCTGCTCTTTTTTTTCTTCCTTTCACTGAGTAAAACCACCACGGGTGAGATCTTTATTTCCCTGAATGCTACAAAGAAGCACCAAATATATACTTCTTAAGGTTAGTTCTCCTTTGAGACCCATCCTCATGCTGGATGTATTTGCTGACCAGACCTTTGCATGAAAAGCAGAGCACCCACAGCACCCACCCAGGATGGGTGAAGATGGCAAAAAAACCCTCCCCATTCCATCTCACTGGCATGTTAATAACAAGCACCAAACAAGCATCGAGCTCCACAGCTTTCTGGAAACATCATTTTAAATTTATTTATTTATTATTATTATTATTATTATTATTATTATTATTATTATTATTATTATTATCGACAAAGGATTTCAAGGCCAGGTTGGAGCAACCTGCTCATGGAGCTGGATGAGCTTTAAGGTCCCTCCCAAACCCAAACCCATCCTGGGATTCTATGAAGTGAATTCTGGGCATGAAGAAACCCCCCAAACCCCCCAAAACCTTCAGGTTTTTTTGGGGTTCTGCCAAGTGACATCTCCCTGCTGAGCTCCCAGCCAGGGAACTGTCTGGAGGCAGAAGCAGCAGGAATTCCCAAATAGAATTCCCAAATAGAATTCCCAAACAGAATTCCCATCTGCAGAGCTGGCTCTGTCAGAGGGGCTGAGCAACCCACTGAAATTAAGGAAAGGACTTTTCCTGATTCAATTGATTTGAGCTCCCAACCAGGAACAATCACAAACCTCCTCGTGGTCTCTGTGAATTCACCATCTCCTGACTGGTAACACTTCAATTTGATTTTCCTCTTTTCTTTTTGAGGCTGTTTTTTAATGAATTTAGACAAAAAACCCATCAGCTTTCCACAGAGGAGACGGTGCAGTCGGGCCCTGCAAGGGAGGTTTGCAGTTATACAGTGAATAAAATGGATAAAACATTTAATAATGATGTAAAATTCCGACTCCAGAAAGCTTTTGTGGGCATTAAAAACGTTCACAACCTCATGGAAAATATTGCTGTTCTGGAAAACATGGATGTGGAAGATCAGGAAACTTCGATTTCCTTCAGTTTTGGACCCTGGAAGAACAGAGAGGCTCCGGATCCTCAGCAACCTCCACCCCACAAGAATGTGGGGTTTTGGGTTGTTTTCTTTCTTTCCAAAGACACTCTGCCTACATGGTCAGAAAAAAAATGAAATTAGAGGAATGTGAGGATGAAACTTCATATTTTTTCCCAAGTAGTTCCTTCAGGAAAAGGGAATTTCAGCCGTGGAAAGGAGAGATCACCAATTTTCACTTCAAGGTCCCACCTCAGTCAGTTGTTTCAATGCACAAAAGTCAATTTAGGAGTTATTTTTTTTTCAAGAAGTGCACTTTCTGAGGGAGTGGTATGCACTGTGTTTTCATTTTTTAAAGGGATTTTATGAGTGTCTAAAGTTTTATGTTCCTGGATGGATGGATGGATGGATGGATGATGTTTATGTGTCTTTTCCACACAGAGAAGAACCTGCAGCCCCACAAAGGATAAATTAAAGCTGAAATATAAAAACTGCAACAAATTGAAAAAATAATTCCCTTCTTTCAGACATTGATTTTAGGTGTTACTTGCCTAAAAAAAAAAAAAAAAGCTACAAATTCTTGGAGAGAAACACAGAAAGTTGTTGGTGTCCCTTTCCCAAACGTGGAGTGACAAAACTCAGCTGGGTGTGGATAAACCTGAATTGTTGCTGCTAAAAGTGGATTTATATCATAACTTTGAGTGGAATAGAGACCTAAAAATAGGTTTAAAATTTAAACTGAAATCCCCTGCAGCCCTTTAGCAATCCTGCTGGACTGGCCAGTGTCCCCAGTGTGCTCCAGGCCTCGTTTCTGCCTCAGAAAACCCCCTCTGGAGGATCAATATTTGGACTTAATATTCAGTGTATTGAACAAAACAGCTTCTGCTCCTGGATTCCACCTTAAGGAGGTGGGTTTTTTCCATGGTGAATCCATGGAAAGCCACATCTGAGCTGCAGGAGGAGTTGTTTTATGCTCACAACAATCTCTGTTCTTCCCTCGGGGTGGATTGAACGGCCGAACTTCACCTCACAGCCTGAAAAAAAATCACATTTCTTCCTCTACACTTGATTCCAGGCTGGGGATTTTACCTTCCCATCTCCTCCAGGGTGCCACAGGATTTGTCCCAGGCACTTCTCAGATCCCAGAACTACTCTGGTTTTATGTTTTTGTGGGGTTTTTTTATGGAGGATCCTCCAGATATGGGACCGTCTGACAAATTTTCATCCCGAACCACAAGGAAGACCCAAGGAATTAAAGCTGGGATGCTGCTGCTCTATATTCCAGTTGGATCTAATCCAAGTTTTTCTGTACAGTACTGTGTAAATGTGAGTGGATATTTAGAGCTTCCCTCATGGTACTTTTTCCATCCCATTTTTTGGCAAGCACCTGGATGAGAGACCCCGGTGGGAGAAGTTTGAAAAGTGATAAATCCCCCCTTTTTTTTTTTTTTCTTTTTTTTAGAGCTCTAGGGATTAAAAACCACGGGAGTGAAGGAAAGGCAGGTGGGAATAACCTGCCAGGGGGGGAAAAGGGGGACAGAAAAATGGCTCTAAACACACAAGCACATGTTTTTCTCTTTTGTGTTCCCTGATTTCCTGGCAGGCAGAAACGCAGCATGTTACTGGTAAAAGTGAATTTTCTGACTCACCGTGACAAGAAACCACAATTTCACAATTTCAGGTTGTTTTATTTTCCCTTTCCAGTGGGTCCTTTCAACCCAAACCGACCTGTAAAAAAAAAAAAACAAACAAACCAACAAAAGGTGTGAAATGTCATTTTTCTACCGTGTTTGTAATTAGGTGGTTGGTGGTAGCAGACCTAGATCTCTGTTCAATATGTATTCAGATTTTTTTTTGCTTTGTATTATTCCATAAAAATCTGTGGATATTCAATTAAAATGAGACTAATCCTTCAGCAAAACTGCATCCCCCTCTCTTTTTTTTTTTTTTTCTTTTTCTGTTTTATTTTTTTTTTCTTTTTGTCAGTAGCTTTTATTTAGACTTTGGCTCCATGTGGAAAATATGATGGACATTTTTTCCTTTGGATGCTGCTCCCTGGAAGAAAGGCACTCAAAGTCCTCCCTGGAAATTCTGACACTGCAAAATTAACATCTCAAAGTGGTTTTTTTTTTTTTTACAAAAATAACTTCTATTCTGGAGGATGATCTTTCCCAGATTCCTTCAGCTTTAGCAAAGAGTCATGGAAAAAATTGCTTTCCTCGGGTTTCCATCAACTCCACTCGCCTCAAGGTTTTTTTTTAATCACACTTTATTTTTACATCTGCTTTTATAATCCAATTAGGAACGTGATTGGGAATTAAATTAGAATTATAATTAAATTATAACACCAAATAAATACCAAAAAAACCCTCAAAGCTGCTTAAACAAAAAAAACCTCCAAATCCCAATAAACTTTTTAATTCAATATAAATTTTTATATTTTTATATAAAATTTATATATTTATAAAAATAATTTTATATTAAATTATTTTATAAAAATAAGTATTTAGAGGAAGGTGCTAGAGCTGTTTAAGTGGGTTTAGATAAGTTATTACCACATGTCAATTAATGAACTGAAAATATGAATATACAGGTCTCCCTATTGCAATTTTCTATTCTTCTTTACATTCTGTTGCACTTTTATGTTACTCTCTACATTCATCAGACTTTAAAGCCAAAAAAGATCATCCTGGGAAGCAGGAAAGGCCTTTCAGGATGAGTTGGGCACTCACCTCACTCCTCTTCACACTACAAGTGATAAATATATTTATATTTATTTATATTCCTTTTATCCAGGCTGGTGGCACTGGGATTAAGAGCAACAAAATGTCAGGTTAATTTTCCAGATGTTTTTTCTCTTCCACCCATGGAATTTTCATGCCTCATTTAATTTTAATTTGGTGCCTGAAACCCACCCAAATTTCCAGCTGCCTTTCTGGATCTCACATTTGCTTCCTCACCAGCTCTAATTTTAAGGCAGGAAAAATTTAAAAAAAAATAAGAAAAATTATCCCCACAGGGAGGTAAAAATAGTTTTTAAAAGCCTGGTTTGTTTTTTCCTCCAAAGCAGAAAAATCCCTTCCTGTTTCGACCTCGGTTTTGCACTTGGAGTGACAAATCAGGGAGTGACAAATCAGTGTTTTCCCACCTCCTCAGTGCTGGAATCTCTCCTGTCACACGAGTTGTGAATTAAACTGTCATCCAAGTGGGAATCTCTTCACCCACGTGCAGGTTCTTCCCTTCACTGAGGCTCCTGAATGAAATTATATTCAAGATTGTGCTAATTATGGCACAGAATATTCCCAGAATATTCCCAGAGTGGCTGATCCTGATCCCTCACAAACAGGAGCCAAAGATTCCCAGCTTAAGACAATTAGAATTTCCCCCCTGAACAATTAAAACTCCAGGTGAGGGGGTGAGATCCCACCTTGTTTTATCAACCTAAAAATGAGATATTGAGCCTAAACTTAGTTTGGTGGCTGACAAGAGATGATTTCACCTGCCTTGGGAGGGGATGAATCACTCTGGGGGGAGGTTTCTCCTTCCTCACTGCTCTGGGAATATCCAGTTTTACACCACACCCCCCCCCCATCCTTTGGGATTCATCCCTGAAAAAGTGAATCACACCCCAGGGGAGGAAAACAAAGGGATAACCCGAGTGGAAAAGGGAATGTGATGGAACATTCCTTCCCTTCCCAACACACACTTTGATCCCTCAGTTTGTCACCTTGGGTTAATTCCTGGGTGATTTGGGGACTTGCTGTTGATTTGAGCTTTTGTTTGACAATCCAAGGGGCTCCAAAGCTCTGGGTTTCCCTGAGTGACCCCAGGCTGGAGATTAATCAGGGAATGCTGCTGAAAAGCCGAGTTTGGAGAGGAGATTTGGAGCAGGAGAGGAAGCCAACACATTCCAGTCGTGGGGTTTCAGGCCCTCACGGAACATCCACCCCAGAAAACTCCAGTCTTTGGGCAGAACAATGCCCAAATGTGAGGTGTAAGAGCAAGATTTTGTACCTGGAATGGCAAGGAAAGAGAAATTACAGGTGATTTTTGCACCACCCCGCCCCATTTCGACATTGTTTTGGTTCCTGGAAGGCCAAAATGTTTCAGTTCCCTGAATTGTTGTGTTCAGACTGTTTTTAGCACATGGAGCTGCAGGCAAACAAATCAAGGTTAGTGATTAATGGTTCTATCACATGAACCCTGTCCTAAATTCCAAATATTTATTTAGTTATTTATTTATTAACCCCTTCTCTTGTGGAGAGATCCCACCCCCCCAAAAATCCACCAGGATGGTCTGGCAGGGGTTGGGATGGAGCAGAAAACAGGGAGGAAGGATTGGGAAGAAGCTGGGAAGGAGTTCTAAGGATGTGGGAAAGAGCAGAAAGATTATTGGTAACATTTAGAATTGGTAGAAAAGGTGTAAAAGTGATGATTTATCCAGGAATGCACCTCCTGTGGGTGAGAAACAGGAATCCTGTGCTTTCCTTTCCTCTCCCCAAGCCCAGAGGAATTATTTGCTCTCTTGAGGCTCCTTTTTTTTTGAGCTCCAACAACCCAAAGGGCTTCTCCTTGGAATCCTTCCCCTCAGGAATTCCCCCTGGGACAGGGAGTGTCTCCAACGGGGCAGGTGCAGTGGGAGGATGGTGGTCTGGGAATTCCAGAGGCACAAGGGCCAGGGAAACCTCCAGCCAGGAGTTTTAACAGCAGGAGAAGGGAAAGTTCCCTCTGCTGTCTCTCTGTTCCCTCTTCAGGCTGCTTTGGAAGAGTCTGTCAAACCTACCTGGGAATATTTGGGAATGTTGGATGGATCATGTCATGCTGACAACACATTTCCCAGCTCAGCTCCTTCCCTGTGTGTTTGCTGGGAAAAACCTCAGCACTTATTCCATGTTTTATTCCTTCTCTTCCTTCATTTTCCTGCTCCCTCTCCTCTCATCCATCGGCACAGTCCACACTGGCCAAAAGTGAGGAGTAAAATTAGACATTTCCTCTCCTGGAATATAAACCAGAGAGATAAAAAATTGGGATTCTGTTACTCTTTAAAAATGCTTTTAATTCCTTGCTACTTTAATTTACAGCGATATAATTTAATGTCAAACGTCCACAAACACATTCCAGCTGTCCAGTGACACTGGAAATGTCTGGCATCTTTGTAAAGATTTATCCCTGGAATTACTGCAGTGGTTACCTGGCACCACACAGATCCCCAAATAGGGCATTTCTTGCATATTTTACCCATTTTTGCCTCTCTAGGCACAAATTCCATGACACAAAATTCCACTGGACTCGAAGGAAGGTCCTTTCTTGGAGCATCACAGTCACCAGCTCCAGAGGGCTCCAGGGAGGAAAAGTTTGGGGAGTGAAACACCTGTACAATCTGATATTTTGGGAACTGAGAATCCAGAAGGATTCCTCCATCTCTGGTTGGAATTCCTCACTAACCAGCTGGCTGCCCCCGGGCTCCACTTTTCCCTTCCCTCTCACTTCAGGTTAATCTGCTCCTTTTATTCCCTTCACCCTCTTGTTCTTCATTCAGGCTTTTCATGGAATCTTGGAATATCCTGAGTCGGAAGGAACTCACAGGGATCATCCAGTTCAACTTCACCCCTGCACAGGACACCCCAACGTTACATTAATTAACTTCCTTATTCCACTACCCAAATTTTCCTCACTGGGAGCTGCTGGAGGTTCACAAAGTGCTGCTCTCATGATGTTCTCCCATTTTTCTTTCCAATTAAAACCCACCTTCCTCCAGGGAGGGTTCAGGAACCTCCCCAGGCCTCGGAGAAGGAGGAAAGAATAAAAAACCCCAAATTTCAATGTTTCTGAGTGAAAATTACTCTCATTTCTTTGCCTCTGACGAGGAACCTTGGCCTAACCTTGGGGCCATCAACAATGTCTTCTGATTAGTGAGGGATTTAAATCTGGGAATTAAAGCTGCAGGAGGGATGAGTCACCTTGGGCAGCAGAAAGGTCAGTGGGCACCCAGAAACTAAACCATCCCAGGGCAACACCACCCCGGTGGCTCCACGGCTCTTCAACTGCCTCCTGCTAAATTTAGCTCCCTTTTTTAACAAAGAAGATTAATATTCCCTTTTAGTAAACATTAGTATCCTAAAAATAACGTGGAGAGAGAGGGAACATTCCCTGTCTTTGATTCAGGCCCGGCGGTGAATGGCATTTGTGTGAGTAAAGTGTCGGGCAGATAACGCAGCTGGGGGATAAACAAGCCCCCCAAAAAAAGGAAGTTTGAGGTGCCCAAAATGTAACTCACCCCCCAAAAAAAAGCGTTTCTGAAGACGTGTTGTTTGCATAAATTGGGTTTTTACGGTTTGGGGGAAGTCTGGGGTGTCTGGGGAGTGGAAGTGTCACCACCCGTGTCACTCCTCGGGAGGGAAGGAGCCAGGAGGCAGCTGGAATGTGAGCTCCAAAAACAGGCAGGCACATGGCACCTCCAAAGGGAACAGCCAGGAATTTGGGAATTTGAGCTATGTGGGTGAATGCCACCTCTCCCCTCCCGGGATGTTTGGGGGCACGAGCAGGGAGAGGGGGCTGAGGGCAAAAACCACGGCAAGGAGCTTAAAACCAACCTCAGGGAAACTCAGGAACGTCCAGAGGGGTAGTGAGGGGGAGAAAAGGTTTAAAAAGGAGATTTTACACCCAGGAAAAATGAGTTTTGCACTTGACAGGAATGAGATTTGGAGCGGTGAGGGGCAAAAAAGGTTTAAAAAGGAGATTTTACACCAAAAAAGAGCTTTTGTGCTTGACAGGAATGAGATTTGCAGCTGTGAGATTAAAAACAAAAACCACACCACAACAATAAATGTGCCTCCTGTCCTTCATCCCCCCTGTTTTCAGAAGAAACAGAGTGTTATAATTCCTTGTGGAGACAGTGGGAATGCTCTGGAATTCCCTGATCCCAAACAGCTCAGCCAGATCCTGCTCTCTGCACTGCAAATCCATTGTTTCTCTAGATATTTGTTTTTCCAGGGATAAAAGCCCCACCTGGAATCCTGAACCGTGTTTCCCCCTGGCAAATCCAGCTGGGCAGAACCCAAATTTCACTCCTGAGGGCAGCATGTTCCAAAAATATTTGGATTAGCAGGTCTCCAGTGCAAAGAACTGGAGCAGAGGTGACCAGAGCCCGGTGTCCCTTTAGGACTCCGACACAACTTTGGAGCCTCCTGGGGTTTTTTTTCCCCCCTCCAAACGTGGTAAAATAATCCCTGGAATCTGGTTTCTTAACCCAGACACTTTCCTAGCTCAGGGATGGGAGGGGAAAGCAAGAAAGGGCATCAAAATGTTGAGCAGGGAGGTGATTTTAGGTCAGTTTTTCCGATTTTTTTTCCCAGCTGAGAGGTTGATGTGGGGACTCCCCACTGCAAATGCTGGGGAGCTTCTGGAAATGCAGCTTCCCTGGGAGTCAGGGCTCACTCCAGTCCAAGAACCCAAGCTCCAAATTCCTCTGGAATTACCACTTTACCTTGGAAAAGATGGTGAAAAGGTAATTACAAGTGGTTTCTCTGGGAACAACCAATTGTCCATTAATATTGACCATAAATAATAAGTGGAATCACCCAGAATTAAGACTGGAAAAGCTCATTTGCTCTGTTCCCACCCACAAATTTATCGGGTTCTACCTTTAAACCCGATTTCTTTTCTTGCCTTCCACCTCTTCATTTGCAAGACCTCCAGAATCTTGACCTCTGGCAGTTAATAATTTCCTAATTTGCAGCTCTTGTTTATTCATGGTCAAAGCCCTGGGCCTTGGCCTCGTGGTTGAGGAGCAGAAAACAGCTTTGTAGAGAAAAATAAACCTCTTTTTTAAATTATTTTTAGCCCAACGGGCACAGCTGGGGCGAGACAAAGGAGGGTTTAGGCCACAGACACTTTCCTCAGGTCTGAAAGAGAAAAATTCAAGATGAATTTAAACAATTAACAGCTTGGGAGCAGCTCTGAATAAAAGCTGATGTTGTTAAATGGTTGCATAATTTCAGGAAAAGTATCCATAAAATACTGGGGGGATTAATAAGGGGATAATGGGACAAAGGAGGTGCCATTTGCTGCCAGAACCAAAATGTTCTGTAGGATCCTAGAGAAACCCTATTGCTTAGGGAACATCTGAATATCTATATTTTTATAGGAAAACTTCCAAAAAATGTGCCCCCACACCCCAAAGTGTGTCTTGATTTGGATTAGGCACAGTTTGGGAGGCTGGAGCTGTGCCCACCCTGCCCTGGGGAGGGGGCATTTTTAGGAACTAAAAACCCTTCCCTTGGATTCTTAGGGGGGAAATCCTGGATATTTGGGTTTTTTACTGCAAGAGCTGAAAAGCTCAAGGCAAAACACTTCCCAGCCAGTGAGCAGGTGATGGAGGTACTACCCAAAAATCAGAATTAAAGCAGCATCTCTGCACTGCTGTGGGCACAGGGAACTCATCCCATGGTCCAGCTGCTTCCCACTCATCCCTTGGAACAAGGACACGGGGCCAAGATCAGCTCTGCAGACCCCAAAGCTGCAAAGAAACCCAACAGGACCCCAAACCCCTACATTTTGGTGTTACTAAATTTTTTTTACAGTTACAACCTGCTGCAGGACAAGGAACCTTTAACACTTTTAACAGTGGCCTTTTCATCCTGTCCCAGAGTGATTTTATAAAGGCACACAATGGTTTGGGTGATTGAAGGCAAGATATTATTTAAATATTACAGAGTTCACATCTGAGAGAGAAAAAAAAATGCTGTT